CCCCAAAACCCCAAAACCCCAAAACCCCAAAACCCCAAAACCCCAAAACCCCAAAACCCCGAAATATAGTAATTAGATTGAACTATCTTTATATTGTGTTGATTATAGCATTGAAATTGCTTTTTCATAAGAGATTTCGTATGGTATTTTATATTCTCTTCCTTTAGTATCTGAATATATTCCTTCTTCACATTTGCTTAGTGCCCATTTTCCAGAAATAGATCTTCCATCTGGACTGGTAAGATTTCCGATTCCATCATTTTTACCGTTCTTATAATTACCAAAATATTCAACTCCGCTTGGCAAAATAGTAATGGCATACCCATTTAGGTAATTATTCTCCCACTGACCCTCAGCGACAGCCCCATCATTTCGAGTGTACTTTCCAAGACCTTCACGCTTACCATCAACAAAATTTCATTCATATATATCTCCATTTGGATCAGTTTGAATTCCAAAGCCATTGGGGTTATCAGCTTTAATTTGGCCTTCATATATACTCCCTGAATGATGGATGTATGTTCCTGTGCCTTCAAATTTACCATTAACGAACTCTCCGTTACAATATAAAAGGTTAGAATTGTTGATTAAAGTTCCTTTCCCATTTGGAAAACCATTGCGAAAGGCACTGTGAATGACTCGGCCTGCAGAATTAACTTCAATTCCGATTCCTTCTAATTGAAAGGTTTTCCTATTTATCTGTCCAAAATAAAAATGGTCTGAGTCCGTAAACTGACTTACTGGCACTAGCTCGAGATCAGGAGAAGGAAGGTATTTGATATTTGGCTTCTTAGCTGAAGCATAAATTTTGAATGAACTTTCACTCATCATTTCAGTCATAACACCCATTGCTTGAGGATAATAGACCAAAAAATTATCTTCAATTTTCAAAAGCTCTGTTAGTTCGTCGTATTCTTCTTGGCTTAAGTCAAAACGAAACGACTTTTGTGCCAAAAACTCAAACCTATCAGGACCCTCCATGCTATATTATTATTATTCTATCCCATCTCCCCCTACCGGGGTTTTGGGGTTTTGGGGTTTTGGGG